ACATCGACATGTTTTTTGCTTCAAAGCAATTTCTTCAATCAGGGCATTAACAACCTGATTGTAAGATGGAAAAGCATCATCGATCAGAATGGAGACTATTCCATTTAATAAATGTTTTGTTTTGATATATCAGTTGTTCGGGTTTTTTCATCTAAAAAAGTGACATTAATTTCTTGATGACGTAATATTTTGTGGAGAGAAAGGAGCTAAGAAGAAACAATCTAAACAAATAAAAGTACACTATAATTTATGATGTTGTGGGTATATTTCTACTATAAGAGTATGGAAATAAATACATCACAGTATTAATACATTATTTTATATTGTGACTAGTGTCGTGCTGTATTAAGCCAAGTATTTAAAACATTGGTCCTCTTCCTCAGTATAGTTCATTGTTTTAAGCGGTACAGTTCTTTATCTCATTAAGAAGTAGCAAATATTGGTTTAAAATCTTTAAGTTGTGCTACTCTACTCTACCATCCTGTTACGTCTCCGTTTGTTAATTAACTCTCCGTAAATTCGTTCCGACGAAACTTTAACGACACAAGTCTTTACTTAATAAAACTGGTTTATTCTTTCCGTATATAACTTTACCGATACACTCAACTTCAACAATCGCACTAAACAAACGCTGTAACAACGAACGTCTACAATACTTCTGACTGCAGTTCAATTACTCACTGTCTACACACACATTACATTACCGCATCACGTTGTCCCCCTATTTTATATACCCAACTACCCCATATCTAGCAATCACTAGAGCATTCGCCAAAGTACAGGATAGTTCTAGAAACGTGGCGTCACAGTGGTCATGTGACTTGCTGACACAACAATACTAATGCAGAACCAGGCACAGACTTAATGGAATTTTCCTGAGCACACCTTTATTCAAAAAGAGAAAAATGCCAAAGGAATAGTAGAAACATGTCTAAATTCAAACTTCTTTGCAACTCATTTGAATGTTTTTGTATTTTTGTTTATTTTCATTATTGAGATTAATTAAGTAATAATTGTTAAAGTTTTCTTATGTATATAAACCTGCACCCCTAAACAAAACACCTACACCACCTTTGTAAGTTAGGTTCCTGAGTCCTGTATAAAAGCCAGACCACCACTGTGCAGGGCTTTTGTCCTGCTTGTCCTTATTATTAAGACTTTACACATTACAGCAAAAATCACTGATAAAATTCTGTACCTCAAAATGAAATTAAATACATTCTCCTTATTTTAACTCAAAGTCATTAACCTCCTTTTTGTTTAGGAAAGTCTTATAATTATTACACTGTTCATTTGTGAGATACAACTGACATTGTCCATTAATTTTTCCTTGGAAAGTTGAAATCAGCCAATAACATGGTGAAGAGAGACTAGGATGAGAATGCCAGCAAGATTTGAGTATATAGAGAGGAGGTGTGGTTGTACAAACCAGGTGGAAGAATGTTGTCATCAAACTTTAGTAATTATGGCAGGTCCTACATATAGTTATAAAAGAGAATTAAAAATGTGCCATTATGAAGAACAATGAGAAAAAGGACCTTTTAACAGATTCAACTTCTGTAACGTTAAAAACGTTACTCATGAAATATTACAATTTAGGAGAGCTATATTGCTCCTCCACAGTAGTTCAGTGATAAGCCTGAGGGCTTATGACACTAACATTTGGGTTTTAAAACCTGTGGTGTGCACAACACAGATAGTTCATTGTGCAGCTTTGTGCTTAATAATAAACAAACAAAATATGGCATATTGTTTCATATGTAATTAAAAACAATTAAACTCAGATAGTTGTAGGAATAATTAGTTTATTTAATAATGATAGTTGAAGTTTTCAAAATTCAGAAAAACTGTTGCACATCATTGTTTTTGAAATCTTGCAGTACTTTTCACAGTTCTTTCATTTTTATTGTTCTTCAGGAGTTTTCATGCAAGTTACATTTAGTTTATAGAGCAATTCTGTGCAAAATTAGCAAATTGTTTTATTCTAGGTCTAATGACAGAAGAAGAAAGGAAACAGTATGATAAATTAAAGAATCAGTTAGGTACAAAATGGTGGCTTCCTGCACAGTGGTTTTCGGCTTTAACATTAAGAGCTCAAAAAGAAAGGCGAATTAAAGACTCCATTCAGATGCAAGCTCTGTTAAATGTAGGTTGTTATATAATTAGAAACATCATTGTTGTAAAGTGTCAAGATTTTTAAGCTACATAAGTGTATATAATGTATATTTTAAACTAGTTTGAAATATTAATACAAAAAATATTGGAAAGCTCAATAGTAAATGTATAAAAATCACTTGCATAAGGTATCTTTAAGCATATCCAGGATCAAGTATTTGATGATGTGTACTTATAATATATTTTTTTGAATACCTTTTTTTTCTTAAATGTGAGAACTTTTTTTCACTCTTTATCCATTTTTAATATATTTTTTGTAATATATATGTGTTTCTTTAAAATCAAACGTGGGTTATAAAACTAACTTTTATACTTGCACACTGGGACATTTTTGATAGTTCATTGTTTTTCACAGGAAATGCTGACATTTCGTGGTTTATGTGGAACTATGTTGAGCTATGATTGGATTAGTTTACCTCTAGCTTATACACAGGCAAGTATATCAGCACAGTTCTTTCTTTTCTTTTACAAATTCAATATTTAAATGTGTATCAAATGATTAAAGAAAACATTATATATTTTAAGTGGGAAAGTAGAATTAGTCTGTTTTAGTAATGCATAAATTAAAGCAAAAAGTGTAATATAATCTTTTAAATGAAATGCATACTAGTATTATATTTGGGGCTTGTGAGATTTAATAACCAAAATTACTGCAAAGTTAAAATCAAAAATCATTATAGCATGAAATTGAGATGTTTTGTTGTTGTCTTGATAAAATTAAAACAAATGATATATGATACAAAAAAAATAGATAAACTAAAAAGCAAGAAATTTGATAAACTTTTGGAAGGAACACGTTTTTTCAAGTGGTGATTTTATAGTGGAAAATTTGTTGTTAAATAAAAAGTATCTGGGTTTTATGGTAAAAAGGCTTTGAATGTATATTAAAATATATCTATGGTAGTAAAAAGATATGGTTGTATATGTAGTTAACTGAGTGTTATTAAAATAAATGTTACTTTAAAAAGCATCCAGTCAAAATAATAATAATACAATATACTCTATAACTACGTTCACACGACGCATTGCACCTGCATAAATTTAATATTGTGTATGTATAAATAAGCCATGTTTTACTTCACTCTGAAATTCATGAACTAAAAATTTATTTGAATAAATATGTGTGTTTATATTCGAGTTTTAGCACTTTGTGTATATTAAAATTTATAGTATCAATGTAGATTTGTGAGGTAATGAATTCTATTTTTATTTCTTTATGGTTTTATTTGACATTGATTTATTATTGCTTCTATTGTTTAGTTTTGCTATGAAAGTTTTGTTACATAAAATTTCTAACTCACCTTCTAGTTGATCACATTGGTTTTAAGTAAGTTTGTATGTATTATGAGATTGACACTAGTTTCCCCTAGTGGTGACATACAGATATTATTAATGTTGTGAAACATTATATACATTTATGGTCACATAAGATTCTTGTGGTCTAACAACTGAATAAAAACCCTGCCCTGAAAATTATTATTGCCAAGTATTACTTGATATTGGTATTTATTTTGTAGTTGTGTAAATATGGAATATTGTTATTTTAGAATTAAGTTTTTCTTCCTGTGTTTTTTCCTGATTCGTTTATTTATTGAAATAATTATTAACCATGAGATATATATGTTATATTACTCTTTTACTATTAGTATTAAAGCCTGGTCAGGCATGTATTTATAAACCATATTTTAGGAATTTATAAATTTTTTATTTCAATTGTTCGAAAGTTCAAATTTTGACTTCTGTGGTTGTTATAGCTCAATAAATTCGTTTTTGTGTTTTAACCCTGGTTGTAACAGCTGTTTGTTTGTGTTTCAGTCCATTACAGATTATTATTTTCCCAACACAACTGTACTGTAAAAATATTACTTTTCTTTTGTTTCTTTTTCATCACTGTACATTTTTATAACTTAACCCTATTACAGGAAGCCAATCTAGATAACTTACTTCATGTAAGGAAACAAATGACTATTAAAGTTATATTTAGAACAAGTATCTTAATTACAAATTTAAAGGTTATTATTAACTGTAACAAATTTTTTCATATAATTACTTTCTATAGTTAAGTGTTACATTTTATTCTCACTCTCATAGGCTGCATTTTCTCCAGTTCAATGTTTTGTTTAATTATCAGTAAAGTGAATTGGAAAATATGAACTTTCTACTTTTGTTCTTGGAATTAAGAGTTAATATATTTACAATGTGTATTTCATATATTTTTTTTTCCTTGTATACAAAAAGTTGTTTGTAAATAGTCGCACTTATAGTATGTACAACTTGGTGACTGATTTGATTACCATCAAACATTGATTTGTCATGTAAAATAATTGATTAACCAAAATTGTGATTTTTTTTTATAACATTAATCAGTTTGATCAATAAATCAAAATTAGTGTTTCTGATTATTCCAACCATCCAAATCTCATCTGAGAATAACTGTCTAGTTGAATGTAATTGATTAATGAGCCTGACAATTATCAAATTTCACTAATAGTCCTGCTCCAACAATATATACAAATGTGTATTGAGATGCTTTTATATTTATGTATGTATTTATTTTAAAACTATACTCACATTTATTCAAAAGGGGAATGAATAGAATATGTAGAAAGAATGCTCAGTAAGGCTTGAACTAGGGTTCACATCAGTGTTCCAATACTGATCGCTGTGCTATTTAACTTAGCAGTGTTCAACTTGTATGCTTGTTCTTAATATTTGAGGCAGATTGTTAACAAATTTGGTACATCTATTTTGACAAAATTATTAACACCAAATTGAACTGGTGGATGATGTGATAAAAAAAATAGACCATAAAAACTTTACATATCTTATAAGTAATCAAAATAATAGGCTTGTAGGCCTTCACCCATTCCTGTTACAATAGTTTCTGTAAATGATATGACACTATTCATAATATACGAGTGCTATTAATTCTTTTATTGAAATGCATGTATATACAGAGGGTTAATTGCACTTTATAAGAATGATGTGCATATGATGATGATGGAATATGTATTAATATGGTGAACTTGTTAAGTGATGGACACCCTTTTGAAAAAAAAAGTCCTCAATGTTCTGCATACCATGGAAGCAGAGCATCTTATGACAGTAGAGCTTTTAGGACTGTGATGAGTTCCAAAACCAAATTCTAAATCAATCCATAACTATGCTGTCTTTCTAAAATTGAAAGGTGTTGTCATGAAGGAGAACTTCCAAACTTGCAAAGCTAGTGTGATGAAAGAGGTGATATCTCTCTGTTTGTGAAAATGTACCATTAAGAAGATAATAAATAAGGAGTTGAAGTAGCTGAAGCCTCAGGAACTAAAGTGAACAATCTTTTAGCTATACCTCAAGATCAATAGAAATATGGCAAAGAAATTTGAACCAAAGCAGTCCTATTTAAACGTGTACCTCTTAAATTCCCTGATGCATCTCCAATGTATGTGTCTTTTGTCTTTTTAAATGTGATCATAGAGGCTGATGTCCATGTACAGTAGAAGGATGATAGGAAGTTTGTCAAAATGTGTCTAAAACTGACTTCACTATCCTTTGTGAATGTAAATGCATACATTACCATATCTAGGATAATTGTAAAGTTTAATTCAGAATTACTTATTTTACTCAATGATTCATTTTTATGCATTGACATTACTGATTTTTAAATATATTGTATAAATGATAGGTTTTCAAAATGAAAGGCTTGCATGCTATTTCTGTAAGGTATATATGTAAAGGTGTAAAAAATGACACTTTTCTGTACAAAATATTTAATTATACCTTATTTTTTGTTAAATGTCTAACTTTCAGAGAATTACTTGGAATATGAAAAAGTTTAAAGTTATGTTTATAGTTCTGGGTTTGGAAACAAAAAAAACTTTTTGGTAAAGATAGTTATACACTTGGTTTGCTCTGCTTTGATAGCACTTTTGTTTTTTCCCTTGTATGAATTTGTCCATATCAGCAAAAATTGGTATTTAACAACACATCTCAATTTTGCATGTGGCATTTTGACAGAAAGGAATAATTACAGTGGGCAAAAAAAATTTGCTGCTGGGGAAAACTCGAGTGATTTGGGGGGTAATTTGATGGTGCCCATTTCTAAAATGTAGTCAGAATTTGTCCATCACCTCTAGATTTTAAGT